GAACTCTGATGGAGGGCTGCTAGGGCAGCCGTGATGGTAGTGATGGGCTCGCAGAGGTTTAGAAAGCGACATGGGTAGCCAGAGTGCTCCGTGTGTCCTTCTTTTCAAGCTTAGTAGAGCCAAGGTCTAGTTAGAGCTGTTTCTTTGGCCAGAGACTGGAGTCAGGAGAGTGAAAATGAGCAGGCATATCCCTGTGAACATGAAGCCCGCACCAGAGAGCCCCCTGGAATTCTTCACCTCTTCCCACTGTGGGTTAGCATCCTTTGTTGGCTTGCTAGACTCTCATCCCCCATAAGGACCACCGTTTGACACTGACTGCCACCCCACAGTAGGAATACCAGATAGTGCTCCATGCTCAGTCTTCCACAGAAGGCCAATCCACCGTGGAGCTCCCTGGGGGCGAATACTCAGTACAGCTGTGCTCCTCAGATGCTGGGGCCACTGAGAACTATGCACTGTATACAGGACAGCATCCCATAATGGAGACAATGCCACAGGCACCCATCAGTACTTGAGTTCTTACTCATGTGGTGCCAACGCATGGGCAGGTTTGTGAGCATGAGGTCTGCTGGGAAGGCTCAGTTCACTGGATGCAGAAACGGGTACTTTTCTAGGAACAAGCCTGGAGGGTGGTCTTGGTCAGCAAGTGACTGTCTACTGGCTGCCAGGGGTTGCACACCAGGCAATGAGGCAGGGTCTCCATGGGCACCCTTGGGTCTAGAATGTTCAGTGTGACTTCTGCCTCCCTTTGAATTTATCACAAGCCAGGTATATTCCTGAGGATGTTGATTTCTCAGATGCCAAGAGGATATGGAAGACGTGGCTAGAGCCATGCGGAGCATGAAGGTTTCGTTTCTGTTCTCAGACTCCTTACTCATCTTCACATTCACATGGTTGTGGTTGGTGGGGATAGGTCGTGACACTTTTTTTTTTTTTTTTTTGCTCTCTAGGATTTTATGGTCCACATTAGGAGAGAGGGTGGATGAGGAGGTAGGAATTTGAGTTCTGGGATTAACATTGCTTCTTTGCTTGAGTGTCCTGATGGCCCTCAGCTTTCTGACATATGAAATGGGTAGGTTGACCTCAGTTATTACCAGGCTTTGTAGTAGGACTCTCTGGTTGTAACTGCCAGCTCCCAAATAATGACATGAAGACTTTTTATTAATTACAAAAGCTTGGCCTTAGCTTAGGCTTATTCACAGCTAGCTCTTATACTTAAATTAACCACTCATATTTATCTATATTCTGCCACATGGCTTGTTACCTTTCCTCCATAATGTATGTCTCCTCCCTCCACATCTTGCTGGTGAAATCCTAGATTCTTCCAAGTTCCTCTCTCTTCCTGGAAGTCTGGCCTATTCTCTCCTGCCTAGCTATTGGCCATTGAGCTCTTTATTAAACCAATCAGAAGGCACCTTGGCAAAGACAACTTCACAGGGTGCAAAAGATTATCCCACAAGGCTTCCTCTCCAGAGCTGCCATCTCAGAGTATTCTGGCCTCCTCTTTGTCATCTTCTCACAGTATTTGGATGGAGGATGTCCCGCCAGCCTGAACAATACCCACGCTTTTAAGACACCCCCTCAGCTGTTCTCTCCAAAGTCCTTCTTACGCATCACAGCTTTCGTGTTCCCTTTGCATTAGGGATCATCAGTCCCTAGTTTGTGTGGTCTTACCTCCATCTCCCACCAGTATCTTCTTGAGGTTGTCACTACGGTTGTCCCGAGATAGGAACCTTCTTTTCATAGTCCTGTGTTCCCTATATGACCACCCAGATGTAGTTCCCATAGAGAGAAAACTGCCGAGACCAGAGTCTGTGTAGCAGGTCGCTAAGCAGTCCCATCCTGATGAACTGCTGTGCTCTTCGTAGGCACCAGCTTCTCTTCAGCAGTGGCATTGGCATCTTATTTGCTCATTTTATAAAAGAAGGGTCTTTTCTTGGGTACCCATGTGGCAGTGCAGGCTGCCCAGGGCTGTGGACTTCCCTGAACAGATGAGGGTGTCCTTTGCCCAGCCTGGGTCTGGTGTTCTGCCTCCAGGTGAAGGGTGACTCCTTGGTGAGCTGGACCAGTTCTCCTTTTCAGCCAGTTACCTCCCTGGATGCAGGACTGACACGGGGGGTGATGACTCTCTGAGAGGTGTTTTAAGGATGAGTTATAAGCAGTGCTCAAGGATCTCAGATTCCTGTGTTGTGGGCTACATTCCCTAAGAGGAATGTTCCTAAGGGGAAGTACTCAGGTTATGAGCCCATTAGGGGCCCATTGAGACAGGAACTGTACCAGTGAGGGAGACAGGGATCTTTAGGAAGATCCAATACTCCCTTAGTAACCTAAATACTAAAATTGGACCAGTGCCGAGATTAGTACAGCCTCTGAGCAAAGGGACACTGATGTCTGCTCTGCCCTCCCAGGGTACACCCGTCCTCTAGGAATGCACTTTCTAGGAGGAGGCAGTGATGGATGACTGGAGATGTTGACGGTGCAGGACAGATGAGGCCATAGTTGTCCACCGGGACCTGCGCAGAGCTGCAGCAGAACGCTAGGACTGTGGTGCCTGGACAGCAGAGGATGCACATGGCAAGGGATGGGCTGACCACTGATGACTTCCGTATCAGTGAGTGCAGTGAAATTACCATAATTGCTTTGTTTGCTTCCCTTGAAATCTACTTTTGGCCAGGCGATTGCCCGAGGTGATTTCTTTCTGGCTGCCTTCAGTCCTTCTGTGTGTTCCTGGGGTGGTGAGTGATGGATCAAGAATCTGCATGTGAGCCCCTCTGCTCAGAGGGAATCATGTGGAAGGAGCTTGGGGGTACTGGCTTCAGAGTCAAGTCGGAGTTCCTTTTTTACTCCACCATTGACTTCTTGAGTGAGGCTCCTGGTTTTTAACCTTTTATTTCTCAGAGGAGGTTTTATATAGCCCAGACTGACTTCAAACTTGCTATGTAGCTGAGGCTAGCTGTAAACTCCTGATCTTCCTGCCCCTATCTTTCAAGTGTTGAAATTACAGGTATATGCCACTATGCCTGGCTTGTCTATTATACTTTTTAAATTTATTTTTATTTTATGTGCATATACATGTATGTCTGTGCACCGTGTACATGTAGTGCCTGCAGAGGACAGAAGGTGTCAGATCCCCTGGAGCTGTGAGTTACAGATGGTTCCGAATTGTTGTGTGGGTGCTGGGAATTGAACCTGGATCTCTGGAAGAGCAGTCAGTGCTCTTACCACTAAGCCACCTCTCCAGCCCCTTGTTTTTTAACCTTTCTAAGTCACTAGTTCTTCTAAAACTGGGAATTGTACATTAGTGGGTAGAGCTACCTTGTGGTTGACAGAAGTCCTCCCTGGGGATGTGGAGGTGAGGCCTTTCTTACCTTCACAGCCCAGTCATTATCAAGGGTCAATGACCTAGTCTCTGTCTTCTTCATTCACAGACTCAGGGTGATAGGGTTTTACCGCTGGAGATGGTAGTGTGTCCTGTCCCTGTCTCCCTAAGGCTCTGCTTTGCTGTATGTAATGGGTACTTGAGATATGGGTGTGAATGCTCATGCCACAGACAATGGACAAAAAGAAAGAAAAATGTCTGGAGAAAATACTTGTTTTGGGGATGTCTCCAGACCCAGATAGCCAACCATTGATATAGCTCAGCAGAACTTAAAGAACTTGGGGACTCTAACTTTCATGCAAGGACATTCTTTCCTGACAAACATTGTCTTTCCCTAGGGCTGTCATCAGGGTCCTTCCCCTGTGTCCCAGACTGCCTTCTAGAGCAGCAGGACCCCTGTGACCTGTGTCTGCTCTCCACCCTTGGCTTAGGGCCTCATCCCCAGGCCCGCAGAGTCACTGCTAAGGCTCCTAGACACATAGACTCCCGGGTTATTAGCAGGCAGCTCCGGCTTCCAGGCTTTGGTTTTGACATTGTTTATGGCTGCAGGAGGAAACAGCCTCTTTAGTCCTCGTGTAGGGGTTGTAGTGTGATGCTGGCAGCCGTGGGGTCCTCATTTGCCTGGGCAGACCTTCCTCCCAGCCCTATACCCAGAGCAGGCAGCTTGCTGCTCTATTGCTTTGCTCTGCCCTGAGCAGCTGGATTCTCATCTGTTGTAATTTTGGCTCTTTTATGTTGTAGAAAAGTCACATAGAATATCAATGAAGGCTTTGTTTCTGTCTCACATAGGAAAACAGAACAAGTAACAAATGAATCAGTTTTTCTGACAAGTTGTGATTTTTCTGTAAACCAACTTAAAGAATGGCTATTGCTTCTTGGACCCCCCCCTCCCCCCCTGTCAAATGCCAAATTCTGCACCACTGACAGAGGCCAAAATGGCCAAGTGCTGGTCTCTGTCCTCCAGGGGGCAATGATGCCCTGCAGCTGAGCAGGCTAGAAAAGGGTTGCTGAAAGCAGGGATGGGAATGGGGGGGGGGGAACAGGACACCCCAGCACTCTGAGTTGGGCATGAATATTACTTCACCCACCCATTCTTGTCCATGCATAGGACCCAGCCCAAATCCTCCTCTTCCAGAGGTTTACAGGATGTCTGTATCCAGGCCTGAGGTGATAGTATCTTTTATCCTTCTTGTCTGGCAGTCTCTGACCCCAAAGTGAAATCACCTGGATGCCTTGGGTTTACACAGGGGTCCATAGTATGTACCTTCTAGGACACTCGCCTAGTCAGAGGCTAGATGGACAGAGGGGCCCTTGGGATTGAACAGAATGGATTCTGCAGTTAGAAAGGGTTTCAGGTTGCTTAAAGTGACTTTGTATCATTCAACAACTACAGCAACAAGCCAGTAGCCATGTGTGTTCTCTACTTTCTGTTAGGCACCAAGTCTCCCAGGATGTAGGCCTGTGTTTATCATTTTAATTTTTAAGGCTCATTATACATCCCAGACCATCCCAGATCCCAATCCCCAATCCCCCTGCCTCAGCCTCCTGAGTAAGTAGCTGGATTACAGAGGTATGGTAGCATACCTAATCTTACTGTCCTGTTTTGAAATTATTCCTCCAGAGATCCTACGGATCATTCAGCTGGACCTTGACCTGAAGTACAAAACCAACATCCGAGAGCTGTTCGAGGAGTTTGACAACTTCCTGCCAGGTGCTGTTATCGGCATAGCCCGAGAGATGCAGCCGGTGTACAGGTAGGTGCTGGCTGTTGGAGGGAGCCTGAGGAGCTCCTCCCATTCTGCCCTCTCTTTTGCTGCTTGGGTGCAGCAGCATGTGGTGTTTCTGTACTTGGAAGCATGTCTGCTGACTTTGGAAGGGAGGGGGTCTGCTCCAGAGCTGGAGAGGCTGCCCCCCCTAGAGGGGAGGATGCTGGGACTTTTTTCTTCAAAAAGCTTAGTTGTTCAGGTTGTTGGCTCTGGTTAAGCTCACAAGGTTAAAAATCCTAGGCACATAATATAACACATAACATAAAATATCTTGGGGGTAACTCTAACCAAACAGTGAAAGACCTTTATGATAAGAACTTTAATCTTTGAAGAAAGAAGTCAGAAAATGGAAAGATCTCCCATGTTTTTGGATAGGTAGAATTAACATAGTAAAAATGGGCAATCTTACAAAAAACAGTCTACAGATTCAGTGCAATACCCAACAAAATTCTTCACAGACCTCAAAAGAACAATACTCAACTTCATATGGAAAAACAAAAAATCCAGGATAGCCAGAACCATGTTGTACAATAAAGGAACTTCTGGAGGTATCATGATCTCTGACTTCAAACTCTACTGTAGAGCTACAGTACTGAAAGCAGCCTGGTATTGGCATAAAAACAGACAGGAGGACCAGTGGAATCAAATTGAAGACCCAGATAGCAACACACATCTACAAACACCTGGTTTTTGACTTTGTTAAAAGTATAAAATGAAAAAAAAGAGCATATTCAACAAATGGTGCTGACATAACTGGATATCAACATGCAAAAGAGTGCAAATAGATCCATATCTATCACCATGCACAGAAAGCAAGTCCAAATGGATCGAAGACCGCCACATAAAACCAACCACACTGAACCTCATAGAAGAGAAAGTGGGAAGTACATTTGAATGTATTGGCACAGGAGACCACTTCCTACATATAACTCCAGTAGCACAGACACTGAGAGCAGCAATTAATAAATGGGACCTCCTGAAACTGAAAAGCTTCTGTAAAGCAAAGGTCATGGTCAACAAGACAAAACGGCAGCCTACAGAATGGGAAAAGATCTCCACCGACCCCAAATCTGACAAAGGATTGGTCTCCAAAATATACAAAGAACTTAAGAAACTAGACATCAAAATATCAAATTATTCAATGAAAAAGGGGGTACAGACCTAAACAGAGAACTCTCAACAGAGAAATCTCAAATGGCTGAAAGACACTTAAGGAAGTGCTTAGCATCCTTAGCCATCAAAGAAATGCAAATCAAAACAACTCTGAGATACCATTTTACACCTGTCAGAATGGCCAAGATCAAAAACACTGAAGACAGCTTATGCTAGAGAGGATGTGGAGTCAGGGAAACATTCCTTCATTGCTGGTGAGAGTGCAAACTTGTACATTTGCTTTGGAAATCAGTAGGGCAATTTCTCAGAAAATTGGGAATCCATCTACCTCAAGACCAGCAATACCACTTTTGGGCATATACCCAAAGAATGCTCAATCATACCACAAGGTCATTTGCTCAGCTATGTTTATAGCAGCATTATTCGTAATAGCCAGAACCTGGAAACAACTTGAATGCCTTAAGCAAAGAATGGGTAAGAAAAATGTGGTACATTTACACAAAGAGTACTACTCAGTGATAAAAAATAATGACATCTTGAAATTTGTAGGCCAATTGTAGGAACTAGAAAAAAAAAAAAAACATACTGTGTGAGGTAACCCAGACCCAGAAAGACAAATATAATATGTACTCATTCATGTGTGGCTTTTAGACGTAAAGCAAACGATAACCAGACCCTAGAGAACCTAAACAGCAAAGAGGACCCTATACATGGAATAGGAAGGAGAAAAAAAAAACAAGATCTCCTGAGTAAATTGGGAGTGTTGGAGCCATGGGGGAGGGGAAGAAGGAAGAGAAGAGAGGAAAAAATATGCAGCTCAATAAAACAATAAATAAAATTTAAAAAATCCTAGGCTTTGTCTGGCAGCGGTGTCAGGATTTCCCCTCCAGCCTGGTGAGCTGTGTTTTCACTGACCTCCTGTTACTGTGGCTGTCACACCAAAGGAGAGTGGGTGGACAGTCGTGCAGAGGGAGCAGTAGAAGCAGCTGAGGACACTGGTCAGGGTAAACAGGCACTTCCTTGTCAAGTGGTATATCACAGAGAAGCCAGGAGACATGCTCAGAATGTTCTCTACACCTCTTAAATGTTCCTGACAGCAGAGTGGTTAAATAAAATGTCTCTACCCAGTTGAGTACTGTATAGCAGGAAAAGAAAGAACACGCGTAGCTTTGTATGATGATAGGCAAGCAAACACCACGGCTAAAAATCACAGGGAAAACCAAGGAGATGCTCCCCAAAGCCAGCACAGGTCTTGGGTACAAAGGGGGTGGTGCGGTGGTGCTTTACTCCCTGCCATGGTCCGCATGTGTTGCACATGTGTTATGTTGAGAGAGAGAGAGGGGGGGGGGAAGAAGAGCAGAAGTAAGTTTGTGTTCAGAGCCAGTTACAGCTGAGGTCAACTCACCCCTCCCCACCTCCACCTCTGCCTGGTAGATTAACAACCTCTCCCAAAGCCAACTCTGATCAAGTTTGCTCCTGAAGACCTAGAATTTTTCTTCTTTGGGCTCCTGGGACCCTTAGTTCTGTGCCGCCTTGTGCTGGCTCAGATACTGCGAGAAGTCATCAGAGAGCTGCCAGCTTTGGCATCTCTTGACTCAGAGCTGAGTTTCCCCCACCAATGGAGGAGGAGGACAGGCTGGGTTAGTGGTGGCTCTTTGCAGTCTCAGGTCTTGTAACAGGAAATTCCTGCGAAGCCTCAAATGAGCTGAGAACTCCCGGGGCTTTGTGGGCTGTCGCCTTACATAATGCTGACTCAGGTTCCCCAGAGCAAACCTGCCATGTGGACTACAGAATGTGAAGTTCTCAAGATTGGGTTCCAATCCTGAGGCCTCTCTCTCCAGCTTTGGTGCTCATGACTCCTCCACCCTGCTCTACCTTCAGCCATTGTGTGCAGTGAATCCCCTCCTGCTCAGACCCAGGCCCTAGGACATTTACACTGGCTGGTTATCAGATGGTTACATCAGCAACACCTGAATGACAAAGTTGGCTCTTTATAATACATTAAAACCTCATCACGTTTGTTACAGATAATCTTGGCCAAATTTTTGTTTTCTGCAGAACTAGACTTTTATAATGATAGAACTTAAATCAGTTTAATTATCTGGCCTTCCCAGAAGAAACACCTGAAGGGTGGTGGATTCAAATTAAATTTCCCTTACTTTCTGCATTTTAATCATTGTGTGCAGTGAGGACCATGAGAACCTGCTACCGGCAGAGCCTTAAGAAAGGTACTCAGCCAACATGCATTGACCTTCAGCCGTAAACTACCCCTACAAGTTGTAAAAGACTCATAATAAATCAAGGCAGCTAATGAGTATCCTACACTACAGTGTCCAGGGATCACCTGTTACAGTGTGTGTGTTTAGTGTTTGCTGGGCCTGCGAATGGCTTGGCTGGTGGCAGACTAGGAACATAGTATACATGCATTTGCCTTTGTATGTACACACATGGCCTTCATCTATGTGGGAACGGGAGAGCCCAGGGACCTGAAAGATCATTGATCGTCCTCCCCTACTTTGGAGAAGTCACCCGACTGGGGGCCAGGGAGGGAGGCTGGGGCTTGGGTGATAGGAGGAAAAGGTTGGAAGAAGAGAAGAGTCCAGTTAATGGTACCTACACAAGTAGAGGTGAAGCTGGGCCCTTCTGAGGGGATGCTGGGCCCATGCTCCTTAGACATGGGCAACACAGTTTATGGGGAACCCACAACTTGTTGCCTGCAGACTCCCTCCCCTAACAACTGGTGCTCAGGGCCCTCCCCAAGTGGCCAGATGTGATGTGGACAAATTGCTTGTTACAAATGGAATCTGATAGCATCCTCAGAAATGGATAAGAAAATGCTGTAACCCTGGATGCATCGTGACTGGGGAAGCAAGTACACTTGGTTCTGGAAATTCACTGAGCAGGAATAGACTCCAGTCCCCCGGCTGTATGGGTTTTATAGTCACTTGTCCCACAGTTACTTTACTTCAAAGGGCACACAGCAAGTCATTTTTTATGGTGACTTCCCCTCTATTGTGAGTCGTTAAATGTCTCAGGCTTGCAGAAGGGTGGGGAGAAATGTTTCCCGCCATGCATTTGACAAATGGCTTTTTCACATTTTTTCCTCACAAACACATCAAACTGACTGCTTTCTGGACAGTGCTGCAGGGTCGGGGAGTGTTGGAGTATGGGTGGAGGATGCTTCCCTCTGTGGGTCCCTGTCACAGTTTGGTCAAGTCAAACCAAACCTTGACTTTCTTCATCTGAAAATCAAGGACCTGGTCATCTTGGATAGAATGCTGCCCTTCCCTCCTTTGACCTTTCTGTGCAGCTGTATCTGGAACTGGACCCCTGATGAGCTTCTCTGTGGTGCTGTGTGACTGGGGTGGGTGTCAAAGGGAAAGAGACCTGTGGGGCCTGCTCTGCGACTCACACCTGAAGTGTGCAAGCATGACCTGGTGGGATGGCTTCCTGTGATGCATTGGAAGTGCGGGGAGCACTTGGGCCTTCCTTATGTGCATCCTGTAGAATTTAGTATGACGTCATAGGAACAGCTCAAGCAGCTGATGTAAAGGCAGTGGCACCAATTAGCTGTGGGATGTGCTGCAAGTCACAGGATCCTCTGTTTTCCCTCTGTGTGGAGAGAGCTGTCTGCCTGTCTATCACCTATTCGTCTATCATCTATGTGTCTACCTATTATCTGTCTTTCCGTCAGTCCATCTATCCATCCATCATCTAACTATCATCTTTGTTTCATGAACTCCTATTCTATATGACCCCTAACTATAGTAGGTGCCGGGACAGGACGCCAGGGATGTAGAACTTGCAGTGAGTACCAGATATTGTTTCGTGTAATAGTGTGTTCTAGATAGTGTATGCACACACTCAAACTGAAG